TTGGCAGAATTCTAGAATTTTAATTCCTACTCTTGAATTCTAATCTGGTAAAATTCTTGGTTTTTCTTTTGTCTCATCTATAGCCTCTATTTCCTTGCCAGTCAGAGATGTCATATGTCGCTATTTCTATATGATTTGTTTCGTTGTGATGTATTTCTTTTTATCGTTTTTTTCTTCTCCATTACTATTGTTATCGTTTTAATACTTTTTCACCACTTTACATTTTTACTACATGCCAATCAAACACAAATACATGCTATTAAATAAATGATTTTCAGTGGATAAAACCGTCAGACGAACATTCTCATACAAGTACCGAATATTACGTCCATCTATTGGCGAAGTGCCAAACTGTTTTGCCATAATTTACCCACAAACTAAACCGACCGATATAAGCATTTTAAAGTTCATATAGTTGTAAAATGAGAAAAGGTAGGAAATATTTGATTTCACGCAAACAAATCCTATGTATCTCTTGATACGTATTTCGACCTAATAGGTCTCGTCAGAAGATCTATTCATAGGGGTTCTCAACGTGAAAAATCAATATTTTCTGCCTTTTAAGAAGCAACAATAACATGGCTTCAATACGGACGCACTAGCGACATCTAATTACAACAATCGTAAAATAGTTTCGAAACACAATTCAGATTTCTGCTTTATAATCTGAGCCTTCTAAAAATTGCAAGGCAAACAGACGTTGATAAAAGATGTTAAAAGAGACATGGGGAATCTAAAATTTGCATTCCACGACATGTCTTTTACAACTAAGCAGAAATCCTTAGCGAATTGTGCTTCTAGTACTCACACAGAGTAAATCCGAATAAAATGAGAAAAGGCAGGAAATATTTGATTTCACGCAAACAAATCCTATGTATCTCTTGATACGTATTTCGACCTAATAGGTCTCGTCAGAAGAGCTATTCATAGGGGTTCTCAACGTGAAAAATCAATATTTTCTGCCTTTTAAGAAGCAACAATAACATGGCTTCAATACGGACGCACTAGCGACATCTAATTACAACAATCGTAAAATAGTTTCAAAACACAATTCAGATTTCTGCTTTATAATCTGAGCCTTCTAAAAATTGCAAGGCAAACAGACGTTGATAAAAGATGTTAAAAGAGACATGGGGAATCTAAAATTTGCATTCCACGATATGTCTTTTACAACTAAGCAGAAATCCTTAGCGAAGGATTTCCTCTCTTTTTCCTAGACAAAAAAGTAATCCCACCATAAAAGGTGATTGACAAAAAGTAGGAACGGACTGCAATGAAGTTAGCCACAATTAGCTCTTCTGTCAACATAGAACAGAATATTTAGTCTACCAGACAGACAGAGAGAGGGCGAATATTTATTCTAAAAGACAGAAAGAAAGAGAAAATAAAGACAGAGGGCGGCAACTACTTTTTGAAGAAAAAATAGTAAAAACGAAACTAAAGGCAAAGGAATTAATAAATTAATAAAGAAATTAAAATAAAATAATTATTTAAATATAAATTAATAAAGATGTGACGTTTATAACATTACAATGTAAATACGTGTGTATTAATTTATGAGATCCTATTTATAAGATACCGATTTTTTTTGTTTTAAGAAAACATATAGTTTCTGTGTTTATTTCTCGTGGTTACCTTTGACTAGAAATACAGACAAAACTGGCAACAAAACAGTCGACTAGGTCTAGTTTCTCCTAAATCAGACCTCATTCTTCTTGATTACATAACACTTGTTTTCTGTGACTGAATTGGGTATTGGGTAAATTCAATAGATAATAACCGTGATTTTATAGTAAACCTTTACTCAGTTCTTTATAAAAAGCCTGCACCACATGCAGAATTTGGTGTAGCAGATATATAATTTTTTAAACACTATTTTAATATTGTTAACGAGAATGTGTATTCATTACACACAAAATCGGTACTATTCAGTGACAATCACACTTAAAGTCGGTGTACATAACAATTTATAACTTTTACGACAATATTAACCACGTTGTTTCTAATAAAGGAGGTTCAAAGAACATTTTTAAAATTAATCATAGGTAAACATGAAACCGAACAATGGAACACAACATATATAATTTTTTAAATTGCACAATTATTTTTATTGATTATAATCTAGACTTGAAAAATAAAAAACAAAAAAAAAAGTAATATAGTAGGCAGTACTGTAGACTAGTACAAAGCTTCATACTATGTTTTCTGTATTTTTAAAATTTAAATATGTTTAAAGTTGAATAAAGTATTTTTATTTTTTATTATTTTTATAGATTTTAATAAAATTGAAAACGTTTACATGTTGTATATAGCGGCCCCCTTTTGTCGCGTAAATGGATCCTTCCAATTGTTTACTGTGACTAAAAAGCCATATTTAATATGTACTGATTTAGATATCTCTTCCAAAGTATAAATATGAAAGTTCAATTTAAAATGTTTTACTAATAATTTTTTCCCAGTTTAATACAATTTTTGAAGTGATAATAATTGTAAAAATCCGACATTATATTTATATAAAATTATTTTAAAATGAGAAGTGTATAGAATAAAAATTATAGTCCGATTTCATAAGGACAACCTAAACAAAACCTTAACTAATGTTGACTTTAGACTAAAGTACACTTTAGTATTACACCCAGATTTATAATACCTACAGCTCTTCTCATAATCAAAAGTAAACTTAGGTGTTGAAATTAGTAAGTTGGTAATTGTGTTTCTATCAATTTCACTTTAATTTTGTCGAAATAACCTTATTTTTCTTGTTGTATGATAATTTGAATCCTTAATATGCGGCAGCTCATAGAAAAGGCCCGCGAATTTAAAATTCCAATAATAATCTGTTTTCTAGACTACCAAAAGGCATTTGATTGTGTAAAGTGGGAAGTTCTCTGGACAGTTCTTCATGAGATGGGAGTTCCAGATCATTTGGCAATATTAATTAAAAACTTATACGAAGATAACTCAGTTAAAATAAGAATTGAAAACCAGCAATCTGATACCTTCAAAACCAGCAGAGGTGTACGACAAGGCTGCATACTATCTCCAGACCTGTTCAATTTATATGGAGAATACATAATGAGGAACGCACTCGATGGATGGAGAGGCGGCATCTCCATTGCACGGAAAAAGATCTCAAACTTAAGATTCGCAGACGATACAACACTGATAGCAACATCTGAAGAGGAGATGTCGAGACTGATAAAGAGAGTAGAAACCGAAAGCAACAAGTGTGGGCTCAAGATTAATAATCAGAAAACAAAAATCATGATTGTGGACCACGCGAATATCCTCCAAACAACAGGCGCCCTAAATCAATTCGAGAAAGTAGACGAGTTCACGTATCTAGGATCTTCCTTAAGCAATGCAGCCTCCTGCCATACGGAAATTCGCAGAAGAATAGGAATGGCCAAGAACGCGATGAGTCGACTGTCAAAAATATGGAAGGACCGCTCTTTGTCCAAAAAACTCAAAATGAGACTGGTACGGACACTCCTTTTTTCAATCTTTAGTTACGGTGCCGAAACATGGACAATAAAATCAGAGGATAGGAAAAGGATTGACGCATTCGAAATGTGGTGCTGGAGACGAATGCTACGCGTCTCGTGGACGGAGCACAGATCCAATCAGTCGATTCTCGAAGAGCTAAACATTCAGACCAGACTGTCCTCTCAGTGTCTTGCAAATGTTTTAAAGTTTTTTGGCCACATTGCGAGAAGAGACAATGACAACTTAGAAAGACTAATTGTGTGCGGAAACGTAGAAGGACGTAGAGGCCGAGGACGCTCACCTATCCGATGGTCAGATCAAGTACAGAAAGCCACTGGAGAGACGTTTTCCGTGTCCATGAGAGCAGCCCAAAATCGCAAGAGATGGAGAGAATTGACAGCCCGCATTGTAGGGAATCACGATCCTCAGCAATGAGGAAACGACAAGGGAGATGTTAATTTGTATGTAAAATTATTAATTGATATTAATTCTATCGTGATCAAAAAGAAGTTCTTTAAATTTCACAAAAGGGGAACTTTTACTTATTGAGGAAGTATCCAAATATAAATCAATTAGTATAGAAACCAAAACAAATATTAACGAAAATTGGAAGTTAAATTATCTACTTTTTTCCTTTTTAAATGGTTTTCTTGTTGATCTAGATTATGATCTACAGGAAACAAGACTCCATTTTCTATGGTAATGTTTTGAAATACTGCTGCATTGACTTCCCACAACATTCCTATTTCATATGGGAGATTCATTATAAAGATTATCTGCTTCTGTTCTAGCATCTTGTCTAGCCGTGTCATCAAATATGATTGTAACTGTAACCACAACCACACTGACCAACTATTATTAAATTTTGTTTGATCATGTACAGAACTCAACCATTTTGCAACAATATTTCTAATTTTTTAACTAGTTACTGATTTTTTGGACATTTCATGCAAACATTTTCTCTGAACGATATATTTCTGCATTTGCACCTCCATAAGAATCAATTCGTATTAAAGTACAAATAACTGCAGCTCTGCATCTTGGAAATCATAGAATGGGATAGAACTCTGCTTCAATTTAGACTATTTCATTATTTGTTTGATATATTTTCAAATCTTGAAACTGTTGCCCTCGATATACTCATAGTCGGCTACTGATATTTGCATTTTTTCAAAAGCAAAAAAATATTAATGTTAAAAATAACTGTTGGATTGGTGTAACAGCTGCTTCCCAAAAAATATATGCTGATTAGTATTTTCTTTATATATATTAGAACATTAATGTTGGTTTGTTTGACTTTTTAATGATTTATCCACTAATGTCAATGGGATGACAAATTTTATTGTATCTTAATGATATTACTTATCTCTTTGTTACGAGGTTCGATAATAATTATTAAAATATTCGTTTTTAAACATATTCACTGTGATTCATCACATTTTTGTTAATTTTTCATTTTTGTACTTTTATTTATTTTTTTAATTTATTTCATTTTCATTTCTTTTTTTTTTCAGGTGATATGACCAGTGATGTTCTCCGAGTATGTACGGAAGCCCGAAGCAGGTCTCTAGGTGCCTTCTCTCCTTCGTTTAATATTCACAAATTAATGTTAGAAAATTTAGAAAAATTTTTACCAGAAGATGCTCATATTAGATGTAGTGGAAAACTTCACGTATCCCTTACTAGAGTCCATGACGGAAAGAATGTTGTGGTGAGTTTCATTTATTAAATGTCATTGTACATCATTATATAAAGTTTAATAAAAATTTCTCTCAATGACCTGGTAAACATATGATTTCAAAATTGGATGTTACTTAAAAAAAATTAAAGTTGAATATTTACCAGAACCATTATTCTATCATGATATTTGTAGTTTTTAGTTCTTAATCTACATACAAAAATGTATAAAATGTTGCGTATAAAAAAACAAATGAAACAATGATTAAAAAAGGATATAAAAAGATTACGGAATGTACCCCTATAAAACATGATCACTGCACGATACTGGGTACATAAGAATATTGTAGAAAAATATAAATGATTTTCTCCTGGATTTTCTAACAGGTGATTTTCTCCTGTACATATCAGCATCTTTTGAAACATTCAGCAGTTATTTAATATGCATTTGCAGGATAAAAAATTTAAAGACACTTACTGCGAATTCTTTGTTTTATTTAAGTTGTCTCCACGGTAGACTTGCTGATTCTTTAAATAGAATTAAGGCTTTCCCAATATTAACAAAACCATGGCTCTCGGCAAACAAAAATCGAAAAAAAAACGTAAACATGCTCTGCCATACCTACTTCGACAAGCAAATGAAGAAGATATTTTTACTTAACTGTTACTGCACTAAACGAAATTGTTTGGTTCTAGGGCTTTAAGGCCCTAGAAGGTGCCTGTTGTGTTAAGCATTGAAGAAAGTCTTTCTTTTTTTCGTCACATTTTGCCTTCACTTCCTCTCTAAACCGTGGGGTTTTCTTTTTTTTATATGTTAATGTTCATTACTTTCCTCTCTCCAAGTGATTCTGTTGCTGCGTAAATTTGAGCTTTTTCCAGCTTCTCGATGTTATAGTTTTCTAATATTTAATTCCCAGTAATATTCTCTCTTGAGTGTGAAGTATTTCATGATTATTCTTATTTTACATTATACTAGGCTATGGTCGCTACCTACATCTGCTGAGTTGAGGTATCTTACGTCGATTATGAATGTGTATAATGTATATGAACTGGATTATTACACCTAGCAGCGAGGTACTTGAGATGTCAGGAACAACCAAGTATATTTTTTAAGGTCCTATTACGTTTCCTGAACTAGTCGATTAAAATTAAATATTGAAGTGTTTTTATGAATTATAAATACCTACTTGTACTGTCCAGATAAGATTATAAAATACGCTGCATTGATGCTCGACATATATGTGGTTAACCTTGACATATCTTTTCTGGATCAGATCAATAAGTTACAAAATATGTTAAGATATAAAAAATATTTAGGTATGTAATTGTATGCAATCGTTATTTCTGTGTACGTCTTATGAAAATACTTTCATATATTTAGTAATAGATTAGTTTATTTTTGTTTCTCTAACCATGGAGTAATTCATGGTACATTACCTCATGAAATTACTAACTTCATATTTCGTAATGGTCTAACATCATCATTATTTAAGTACATTATCATAGTCGAAATAACCATCGTTATTAATTTCAATTATGTAGTACCAATCACAAGATGATGTTAGCACAGTTAATTAATAATGGTAGTAAAGATTTGAGAGACATTCGTTTTACTTTCCGAGTTTGAATTTGTATCAGCCCAAGTGTCTGACGATGGCTGGGATAGGCCGAAATGATCATAACACTTTAGTGATACCAATTCGAGCACGGGAAGTTTAACGAATTTGTCTCCTAGGCCATATAGTTGGCCATTTAATATGTACTAAATTTTGTTAGAATTTAATTTTTTTGCATAATAATGTTTCAATCCAGGGCTGCAAAAAAAAATTTCAAAATTATTCTGGGTCCAAAATAAGCACCTTAAATAAAGTCGAAATTCAGACGCACTATAAAAAATTGAAATTTGTCAACTAGACGACTAGACGAGCCTAAGGAATTCTTTAAATAATTTATACACAATTTTTTCATATTATACGTCATTTCAAAATAAAAATACATTTTCAAATTTAATAAATTAATAAAACATAAAACTGCTAATATAAATTAATGTTAATAGTAAATTATTATAATTATATAATATTATTATAAATTATATAATATATATTATCAAATTGTTTATATAACTCCAATATTTTTTAATTTTTCCAGGTTTCACAATTCGACAGCAGAGAAGAGTTAATCCAAATTCTGCTTGCATCAGCCTTCATTCCATTCTTTTCTGGATTAATTCCTCCAAAATTCAAAGGCGTACGTTATATGGACGGAGGTTACAGCGACAATTTACCTACTTTAGACGAAAATACCATTACAGTTAGTCCATTCTGCGGTGAAAGTGACATTTGCCCACGAGATGATAGCTCACAACTATTCCATGTAAGTATAAATAGTCATTATATAGAATTGTTTGAAATTCCTAAAAAAAATTGGCCAAGATGCCAATGCATCTATTTAAATGTATAAAAAAAGCCCTGCGGTGACGCTACAGCCCTTGCAGAATTCGATACTCTACGAGTCTTACGTCCAGCTCTTGATCAGTTTCTACGTAAGCTAGCCAGTTAATTCGTAGTCTATCTCGTAGACGTTTTCCTTTTGACTTTTGCTGATATTCCTTTTTTGCACATTTGTCTTCTAGCATAAGTTTCAGATCTCACAACCATCTTATTCCAACTCTTTTCGCAATTTCTATAAACCTCGGTACTCCATAGAGCTGGTTTAATTCGGCATTAGTACGACGTTGCCGGCTACTTCAGTAAAAAGGAATATAATAGTCATATTATGAGTACTTGCAAATCAAGAGATTATTCAATCAATGCATTAGATAAACAGCTATCAACTGTACGAAACGGAAAGCTATTATCAGGGCATAGTTCAAGATAATGCCATGTTTTGTAAGTGATTTTAGGGTTTTTACAAGAAAACGCATAAATACATTAACCCACTTAACATCTGCTAACTTGCAGATGACTATTAGGTACATCTCTCATACCCCCATAGGCGCCCTGTAGGGATTATGGTTTATTACAATATTTTATTTTTTGCAGATAAACATCGCCAATACAAGTATAGAACTCTCAAAGCACAATATGTATAGAATAGTGCGTATACTGTTTCCGCCAAAACCCGAAATTTTGTCGAATATGTGCAAACAAGGATTCGACGATGCGCTTAGATTTCTACATAGGAACAATTTGATTAATTGCACCAGGTGCTTGGCTGTGCAATCTACATTTGTTGTCTCAGAAACTTTAGACGAGGAATTGGAATACGACCCACAGTGTAAAGAATGTAAACTGCATAGGCAAGTAAGTATGATTCAATTATTATAGAATAATAAAAAAATATAAATAGAATACTTTACACGGTAATAAATTCTAACTCTGTATGTATCTTTCAGGAAGCACTTGTATCTAATGTACCTGAATCTGTCCTAAGCAAATTTCAAGAAGCCGTCGACAAAGCCAATAATGGTCTTCTAAATTGGTTGTTCAAGCACAGGGGCATGAAATTGTTGTCTGTGCTTACGTTACCTTACACCTTACCTGCTGATGTGATGTACGCTACTTTTACAAAGTAAGTGATTCATTTTAATAATGAACGTATGGAATCAAAGAAAATGTATGTAAACGTAGGTATGTTATGCATAATGCAAAATTATATCTCGAATGAATTTCGTTTGAGTTAGGAAACGTATTATTTGTGAGTAATTTGTGAGTCTTTTTTTGATATTATTTATTATCGACTAGTCAGTCCAGTGTAGATGATACTTACGTCTTAAGCTAGATCTGAATTTGAATTTTGTGCAAGATTTCACCCAAATCACAGTATATAGCTACATAATTAATTGAATCTGTCATTTCGAAAAGGACATAAGTCCATTAATTAAAACTTCCGTTCCGTGTCATTAGAAAGGGGCATAAGTCCAGGACTCCAGTCCAGTGCCATGTTCAAACAGATTTCAATTTTCGTTTGCCTCTTATGTTGACATGTGATACATGAAAATGTGCTATTTTCACAAAAAACGTGAAAAACGTTTCAAGTAATAAAATGGCAACAAAAAGTGTGACTTATACCCTTTTTCAAATATCGGGTTTCATTCTTTGAATATTAAACTTTGTCCAGGAATAGTATTTAACACCGAGAAATGATCACAGAAGACTAGAGAACGGGTAGACATAAGAATCAATGTGACTTCTTCGCTAAAAGTATTCGCAATAACGTACCGCATTGGTCAACGCAAATTGGACAACAATCCTAAAGACAATCATGCTAGAGACTTGTCAGCGAATTCTAAAACTGGAGTACGAAAATCCAGATTTCATAAATAATGCATGGTTGTTGGACGAAAATCACATTAATTTTGATGGTTTTATCAATCGGTAATCAACTTAGCCTAATCAAATTAGCCCAATGAGCCACACTCTTAAAATTTTCCTCAGAATACTTCACAACAGAATTAGACGCAAATGCGAAGATCATCTTGAATATATCCAATTTGGTTTTAGAAATGCTATGGCAACCAGGCAGGCACTTTTTGCGCTTAACATCCTATTACAAAAATGCCGTGACCAAACAAACGATGTATTTGCATGATTCGTGGGAAAAGGCATTCGATAAAGTACAGCATGTAAAACTAATGCAAATGCTGAAAAATATCGGAATAGATGACAAGGATATTCGCGTCATTAAAAATTTGTACTTTAATCAAACTGCTATCGTAAAAATTGGAGATGAAATCTCTATACAACGAGGAGTAAGACAAGGTTGCATTTTGTCGCCAACATTGTTCAATGTTTACTCGGACCATTTATTTAAAAAGACACTTGAAAGACAACCATATGGAATAAGAATCAACGAAGAACTACTTAATGTCATTAGATATGCAGACCATACAGTACTTTTATCAGATAATATTGAAGGCTTGATTCTGCTTAATCGTTTTCACGAGGTAGGAGAGAAAATGGCATTAAAATAAACTCAAACAAAACCAAATTTTGAGTGTGTAGTTGTGACCCACATCCCGATGCAAAGCTTCAATTAAACGGAGTCCCAAGCTAAGAAAGTTCACAAAATGACATATTGGGGAACTGTGATAACGGACCAACTAGATCCAGACATAGAAATAAAACGTAGAATAGCAATGACTAAAACTTCTTCTTTAAGTGCCGTCTCCCAATCAGAGGTTGGATATCATCATCACTATCTTTACTTTATCTACTGCTGCTCTAAAGGGTTCTATAGAACTGCGTTTAAACCAGTCCCTTAAATTCTTCAACCATGACACTCTCCTTCTTCCTATACTCCGTTCTCCTCTTATCTTTCCCTATATTATCAGCCTTAGCAGTTCATATCGCTGCCCTCTCATTATGTGTCCCAGATATTGTAACTTTCTTATTTTTATTGTGTTTATTATTTCGCATTCTTTGCCCATTTTTCGCAATACTTCCGTGTTAGTTTTCTTCTGTGTCCATGCTATTCTAAACATCCTCCTGTAACACCACCTTTCAAAGGACTGTAACTTAGACTAAAACTACTTGTATGAAAATGAAGTCGTTTCTTTGCAATAACCATCTCAGTTTAGAACTAAGACAAAGAATGGTTAAGTGCTGTGTTTGGTCCGTACATTTGTATACTGCAGAAGTGTGGACGCTAAAAGTATCGATAATGAACAAAATTGAAGCATTGGGAATGTGGGTTCATAGACGAATGCTGAAGACACCTTGGACAGCAAGGAAAACTAATGAAGAAGTACTGGAGAGCGTCAACAAAGATAAAGAACTACTAAAGACTGTTAAACATCGAAAAATGTCTTATTTGGAACATATAGTAAGTGGAAGTCGATATAAAATATTACAACTAATCCTTAGGAAGCTAAAGGAATTCGTATTTATGTCAGAATATCCGCAAACGATTATTGGGGAGCTAATAAAAATATAGTAATCTAAAGTATGTAAAGCAATGATACGTACACATTTTAGATATTATTTATAAAGGTCAGTTGTAAAAAATAATCGTTAAATGCAATGTTGATTTTGGGTACTGTTTTATTTTAGACGACTACTTTAATATTGCAGGAATTATCATGAATTATATCTCGTTTTATCATTTTTGTGTGTTGAATAAAATTTACAACTAAATAACTCACAAATAACACGGTTCAAAACATATGATTGATAGCTTGTGCTTCAAAGTCTGTTATTCTACGTATGTATGTTGTTTGTTATGTACGTTATTAAACTAAGTGCTAACATAAAAATAATTAAGTACATTAAATTTTAAGGTGATAGTATAATATCGACCAGTGGACCCAAGAATATTTTGAAATTATTCGCATTAGAATAATACGTATATTTTATGTGTGGTTTGAAAGAGTTTTTATGTTTGTTTGCCTAGTTATCAAGCTTATAGTACCTCAAAAAGTCCAGGTATCATGTAGTTGTTAATTGGAGCTGCCTCACTAAACAAATTGTTCAGGACCCTTAAGCTAGCGGGGACACATAAGCGGAATCCAATTTAGCTTACGCCATATGTTTTCACCCATTTTCTAAAAATGTATTACTACCCTAATAATTTTTTAATGAAATTGAATTTTCAATGAATTTCACAATGAAAATTCTCAGTTTTGCGGCGATCAAAAGTTCTAAACAATTTTGCATTGTGATCGTATTTTATTTTTGCATTCGTGCAAAATCCGTTTGAATCCGTGCATAAAAAATTAATTGTTGAAAACTTTTGACAGCCGCAAAATTGAGAATTTTCATGTTTAAATTATTTAGAATCAGCGCATGGAAAAACCCAAAAAAAGTTTCTTCTAACCTTGTGACAAAAAAGTTCACGGGAATCGAATAAGCGTATAGACTAAAATTTAAAGTCTCAAAAAATCTGTTCAAGATACTCCTGAGCTTAGACTTTAATAAAAAAAATAACCAAAAGTACTATTTCGATGTATGTTTTTATGCTGAGTACAATGTTTTTTGGGTAATCTTTAATAGTAAAAACCAGTAAGTCATATTCATCTATGCAAGATCACGTCTAGAGTTACTTTTCAACTCTTGAAATGCGAAAATGAGCATTTTCTATACCGTACAAAACAGTACGATTTTACGCCCCCAAAATTAGGGCGTAAAGTCTGCATTTTAGATCGATGTGCTAAGTTAAAAAATGTGAAGATAGTAAAAAATAATAAAACGTTGAAGTAAAAGCACAATTCAGAAAAATTATCAAAAATATCTTTTTTAATTTTGTTTTGTCAGTTCAAAATTCAACCTAGCAGAGTTATTGGCTTTTTATAACAGGTAGTTGAGGGTAAAAAATTATTAAGATGCTAAACGAATAGCAAAAACTTTGCAGAACACAATGGTACTTAAAAATTATAGGCGTTAGTTGGAGGGTAAAAATTTACTATAATAGGGTGATAATAAATTAGTAAAAACCTAGCAGAACACTGTGGCATTTCCAAAATAATATTTTTGAGTTCCGCTAGCTTGAACATTAAGCTAGCCGATTTAGGAGTAGGCTTGAGGGTGAAAAATTATTAGGTTGGTAACAAATTAGTGAAAAATGGTTAAAATAATATGGCCTAGTTTAAAATAAATTTTGCTCATGGGTCCCCGCTAGCTTAATGGTCCTCAATTCTTCGAATCCAACAATCGTCTTCATATCGACTAGATATGTTGATAAAACGGTTATTCCCGAATATTGGAAGTCATTCAATAAAGGGAGTAGGTATACAAAAAGCTGAGGAATCGCAACGTAACAATAATTTCCAAATAATTTTCTAAAATGTTTTTCTAAGATGCCAATTTGTGCCTCAAAACAGAAGTATAATAATATTTTTAGATGCTGACGATATAAGTATATAATCAAGTTTTATGCCTTGGAGCAGTCATTCTGAATGATCTACTCCAAATTATATAGCAAATATTCTCAAACCAATGCTTTTTAGGATGTCGTCTTTGACTGTTGTTGGTGGGTTTTCTATGCAGTGATATTGCTTGTATTTCTTTCGTTGCTCAATCGTATCAATGCAATGGCCAAGCCCAGGGATTCTACTAGTTTTAACAAAATTTACAATCAGTCAATAGAATTGAGGCCCTAAAATCTTTCCTAACACTTTTCCTTCGAAAAGTTTTAAGTCATAATATTCAGCAGACTGTATCTTTTAATTCTATAGGCCATAATGGACCTGAAAGTCTTGTACAGTTGTATTATAGAATGGCGACTTTGCAACTGTATCACAGCAATTTATTTGCGAAATATGCCATCTTCCTTTACTTATCCTTGTTTTTATTTCTGTAATTAGTTATATCATTATTTCCCGTAAGTAGACATATTTATTTTTATTGTAATTTATCTACAATTCCAATTCTAGTGAGGATATTCTCAAGTGTTAGTAAGTTTCTATTAAGGTAGTCTCCTTATGAACTAGTATTACGACGTCATAGACATTTTCTCTGCTTTTAGTCATGAGGTTTATGTGAATTTGAATATTATATACAACTGCGTAAAGCAGGAGCTTAAACAATAGAGCTGAGAGGGCACTTTTTGTCTTACACCGTTTATTACTACGTCTACTTTAGTAGTGACGAGAGTACATAGGTGGTCCGATAACTACTTATCCTCGCCGCCCGATGGCGCCACTATCGTACAAGAAATCTTTAAAATAACGTTTGAAAACTAGTGGGAAACTAGTTTCAGGCGGATCGCCCCGGGGTCGAATGCTTATACAATAGATGCGAGTGCAATCGGTTTCAGACAGTAGTTTTAAAACGGTTAAGTCATGGGCGCTAGACCTAAATGCCGCGAAAATGGCTACCACGGAGAATAACGTAAAAAAATCCACGCTCGCGTATTGGTAGTCCGCCGACTGAAGGTGCGCAAGAAAGCTGAGATAGTAGCCATCTCAAAATACCACGTGGGTCATATCCTGTATGAAATTTTAAACATAGGAAGCCGTCGGCGCGATGGGTGCCGTGTTTGCTCACTCCGGACAACAAGCCCAACCGTAGATCACATCAGAGCAAAGATTGACGCTGTTTATGCGTAATCCTCTTCGTTGTTTCCTAATCGTTGACGAAACATAGATCCACTGGTACACACCAGAGACCCAGGAACAGTCGAAATAGTGGACTTTACCTGACGAACTTGCTCCGAAGAAGACGCAAACTGTCCTATATCGAGCATAAAAATAATGGTCGCATTTTTCTGGAATTCAGAAGGTGTTGTGTACATGACCTACCCGGAGAAGTTTAAAACGGTCACAGGGCTCTACTATGCCGAATTATTTGGCTGGTTTGACGCCGAATTGCAAAAAAAACGGTCATACTTGCAAAAAAAGTGATTTTTTTCTATGACAACGCACTGACTCATACCTCCGTCGTCACCATGGCCAAATTGTAGTCGAATTGGGTTACTAACTGCTGCTCATCCCTAGTATTCTACAAATTTTGCCCCGTGCGACTTCTTTTTGTTTCCAAACTTGGGAAAGTCACTCGCCGGGCAGAAATTTAAGTCGAGTGAGAAAGGCATCGCCGTCACGACAGCCTACTTTGTATTCCTCGAGAAAATGTATTTTTCGGGCGGGTTAAAGAAGTTGAAGCATCTTTGGGTCAAGTGTATCGAGCTAAAAGTGTGGTATAATAAATAAATCGCGAGAAAAGTTTCTCTTTTCTTTTGTGGGCTAAATACTTATCAGACCTGGTTAGCTATATCGTTCTAACTATTTTTTTTTTTTTGTATAACCATGAGAACCAAGTTTTTATAGGGTATTCTTTAACTGCGTTAATATTATTTGAAGTCGGTAAATAAATTCATGCCTCTTTTTTAATGTTTTTATGTGTGTATCATCAGTAATGTTTTCAAGAATCTCTTCTATATAAGGTATCATTATTTAACAAAAAAAAAACAGAAAAACGCTATAGAAAGAATGTCTTTTATGATACGTTTAGGAACATAATAATGTCTCTATCGTTATCGCTTTCTGTTTTGTTCTCTTTACCGTACACATCGTCCTTTTTGTTTAAATTATTTTCCTTTTTATTTTCTTCTTCTTTGAGTACCGTGTCCAAGTTTTAGGCGTGGGTAGCTTCCATGACGATTTGCCTCGCATCTTTATATAATTTGTTTTATTGATTTGATTGAATTGCATCTTTATCTTTAAATCGTACATTTCCCGTGGCTTTCTGCTGTACACTTTTGTTGCGCCTTTTTGTTGTTGTTGTAATAATCCCTTTATCATAAATATCGTTGCCAAAAATCAAATAATTCACTTTAACTACCTACTTCGTGTCAAAAAACACGAAGTAGTTAATGAATTATCAAATAAAATGTAATAAGAAACACATCAAAAAATCATTTTCACTGAAAAAAGTGACAAATGAATTAGGTTAGGATAGGTAATAAAAATAAAAATTTTATTATTACCAAGTATTTACTTTAATAGTTTTGCACATATGATATATAATTTTAAATATAATTTCTCATTAAAATCTAATCAATAGACGAGCAAATTATTATTATATTCTTAGATTTCCAATATCAGTTACCAAGTGACCCATTAAATTGTTTGGAATATTTAATGAAATATCATTATGATGTATTTAAAATACAATTGCTTGGATTGTACAATTCTAGATATTTAGTATCTTTTTTAATAATTTATATATCGTGTCTATTATTAATATTGATATTATTGTTTCATAAAGGAACGTGTATAGACAATATACAGGGTGTTTCTTTGGGAAAGAAACCTACGTTAACTGTAAAAAGGGACAGGTAAGAGGCGACCTCAAAAACCCCATACTTCATGGGTCTTACTTTGTAAGGGGTTTTGTCAACGTCTTATTTGGTTCATAGTGTCCCCTTTTCTGAGTTAACGTATATTACATTCTCAAAGAAACACCCTGTATAAAACCTACCAGTCTTGTTTTCTCTTTTCTTTTTTAGTTTAATAATCCTTTTTTTTTAAATAATGTTCTTTTTTGTACATTTGTATATTTTTCATGCTTTTGTTAGAAAAATGTCCTTTAAATCCTCCGTCTTTCTTTTGTCAGATCTGTCTAATCCATCGAGCAAAAAGACAAAAGAGGGAATGTAAAGGTAGTGGGGGCAAAAATATTGTTAGACAGGAAGTAATATCTTTAGAGGCCACATTAAACAAGGAAAGAGAGTCTCTCTCCTTGTTTGACATCAAATTTAGTTGGGTTATGTTATTGTTGGTCCCAAATGTCACATGAAATCTTATTTATATTGAAGTTTTTTAACAATTGTGTCGCATTTTAGACTATTACCGTTAATAATTAATTAAAACTTTCTCGTCTAAGACACATTCTGAAAAATATTATATAGCTACTGTTAATAAGTGTCGGAAAATTTAAATTTGGCGCATTCGCATTTCCGGATATGTCCGCCATCAAAGGCCACTTTTTTGGTCCTTTTTTCATAAGGATTAGATTCCCTCTTTTGTCTTTTTGCTCGATGGTCTAATCCCAGTTCTTATATTTATGAGTGAAGAAATGATAACCAAAACAATTTAATAATTATCATAATTAACAATTAAGAATAATATAGAATTTATCAATTAATTTCAATATTGTGTGTATATACAAATCAAATTTACGGTACCTGTGATGTTGAATTAACGTTTCTTCCACTGCACAGAGTTATGGGCAGCGTCTCTTTAAACTTAGGTGGTGGATTTTACACAAAACTGGAGTATTTCTCGTATTAGTTTATACAATACCAAACTATGTGTGTGCGCCTCTGAAATAAATGTGTTCTGAATAAGATCGCCTCTCTTAATGAGAGATGTCTACAGGACCGTATCAGTTTACGTACGTGAAACACATTAATTAAAAACTACGTAAAAACAACTTATTTTTGTTAAATTTAAGCCGAAATAAAAAAAATTCTTTTTTTTTTGAAAAAAAAGGTGGTTCCGTACGGGACCACTAGGCGTTTTTCACACATTTTACGCCCCTTTGAACTGCAAACTGGCATAGCGCACCTCTTTCTTTTGCTCCCAGGTACAGAGATAATCCAATGATCCTTGCAGTCAAACCTGACGCAGTCAGACACTCGAAAATCACTTCCTGCTCCTCTACCTATGTTTCCAGTTCTTTTAGCGGGGACTTTATATGTCGTTAAGTAGGTCTAAAAATTGAATGAATTGTAAACATTTTCCAGGATTTCCTACATATAGGTACGTAAATATTGGCCAGAACCATTTTTTGGAACGTATGCCGGTTCGGTAACTGAAAAAAATTACCCATATATTTTCATTTATATAAATATTGCTCTTTATTTCTTACCAAGATATATTACTGTCCATGAGATCAGTTCCTCCCATGCTGCTATTATACTGCGAAAGAAGATATGGCCTAGGTACTTGTATTGTCTTTTTTTGGAATATTTTTCCACATTTTTGACCGGCTGAACACCAAAACATGTGCTTGCAGCTGTTACGACTTTGTTGTCCCTCCAGCGAATATATTGAATACATTCTCCTTATTTAATGTTGAACAATCATAGCAAATCCTTATCATAGCTTGCTTCTAGGTCTGATTGTACACCTTTGAGACGTTCAGAGCCTACAAACCCAACTTCCGCACCTGCACAAAGTTGACGAGGATTCAAGTTATCCGGGTCACCACCTTCGTCTTCGTCACCTGAATCCTAATCCGTAAGGAAATTTGATTCAGACTGCTCAATAAAAATGTCTGTTCCATCATCTTCTTCATATACGATATCTAAAGCTTCCTGTAGTGTAATTCCACTGAAATTATAAAAAGATATGTTTTGACTACATAACTTCCTAGTGGGTCCACATGGGTACAGCAATATTTACATGAATTTTTAACTGCCCCTTGCAATTTTGATACAAAAATATGCATACTTTATATTTTAAGATCTTTTAAAATAAGTAAAATTGATTTGATCTTAGTATTCCCAAAAAAAGGTACTGAAAATTTACTTACATAAATCGGATGTCCATTATCAAACACTTTTTACTAAAACACGATTTTCTAACTTCCTTAGCTTGTGAAATCTAATAAAACACTGTTGAGTATTCATCAACGCAGGTTCAGACAAGTCTAAATAAAGTATACATGCGGTAAATGTAATGTTGGTTGCCTGTTTTATTATAATTTTATTGTGTTAAACAATACCTTTACAGCTGGGTCCATATGGTGACTGTAGGCGCTAATGGGTCAAATAATTAAAATAGAAATATAAGAATAATAAAAGGATACTTAATTCAAACAAAAATATATGTGGAGGGACATAACAATAGTGCTGATGATACTGCGCTTTCTATTTAATACAAAACTTTTTAATCTATATCTTTTCCATGTTTTTTCATCACGAAATATTCCTGCGTTCATTGGTCGTCATTAAAACTGTTAATTTTAGGTTTCAAATATTTCCGATGAAACCTGGTCGGTCGATGGCATTTTATCGAGATTTCGCCCAATTTGACTTTCAGAGTTTTATGGGCAAAATATATGACAATAAATCGTATCAATTTGAATTACTGGGAAATGCCATTTTAACTTCACCTTCATTTGCATGCCACCAACACATTTTTAGAGAAAAAAGGTGAATATTACTAATTTACTAATTTTTGTGTTTTGTGTAGGTACATGTGGTGTTCCGTCGGTTGTCCAATGTATGTGGCTAAATATCTTGATAATTTATCTGTTTGTTTAACAATTTCGATTTTACCTCTTTACACCAAACAGCCTATACGTAGAAAAAATATTAATAAATCACAATTGTTAAAGGTGGTGGTATGTGCAAATGCAAACACAAACAACGATTATTAGGGACATACGGAAATTAAACTTTGTTTTTAAATTACATACCAAGTGGTGGAAAATACTATATAAAGTACGTGCCTTCTAGTGGCGGGATACGAGCAACATATTGGCTAAATCGTGAAGGACATGATGCTAATAGAAAAGGCATTCGGACATCAAATCTCTGAAAATCTGGTTCCAGAACCAAACAGTCCCCGTTCGGATTCCTGGGTAGGACTATTTCAGATTCCAAGAGGGAGCACCATTACAGGTTAGAAAAATCAGGATCGAGTGATATAATAATTTCAGTTTCATTTCAAGCTGGGTGAGAATAAAAGAAAATCTTTCTATAATTCATTCGGAGAGATATTTAGGGGAAAATAAGATTTATTCACGGCAAAAATAATAGAAAAAGGAGCTGGAACCCAAAAGTAATAGTATATTAGGAATACTGTTATTAAAATCCTGGAAAATCTTCACGAAAGAAATTTGAAAATGAAATGAGTTGGTGATCATCAAAGTTAAAAAAGATAAGGGAGAAGTAAAAACTGTACAAACAGTGGCAAGAAAATCGGTGGAACACAGATCTTCAAAACTATGAAGGCGCCAGAGAAGAAGCGAAAGTAGCAGTAGCAAAAGCTAAAGCAGAAGCATATACATATTCTAATATCAACCTGATACCAGAAAAGGTGAAGCGAAAATATACAAAATAACCAAAATAAGAGCCAAGAAAGCAACAGATTTTAATCAAATTATATGTATCCGAGACGAAAATATTAAACACCACTTTACAAAAAGAATGTTAAAATGCGTTGGAAAAAATACTTTGAGAGTTTATTAAATGAAGAATTTGATAGAAAATCAGTTGAAATAACGGAGACAGTAACATTGCTCCAAAAAATAAAGTAAGGTAAAGCATTTGGACCAGGCCATATCGCTGGGAAAGTATGGACAGCTTTAGGAGCGAGGAACAAGTTGTCTAACAGGTTTGTTTAATAAAATTATGAAAGTTGGACAAATGCCAGACGAATGGACAAGCAGAATATTAAAACTGCTTCCAAAAAAGATGTAACTATGTACAAACTACGAGGCCATAAAACTAGTTAATCACACCATGAAGATATGGGAGGGAATACTTGATAGACGGGTGGGTACCTGAAGAAACTTCACGAAATATTTGAACATCAGTTTGTATTTGTGCAAGGCAGATCAACAACAAATGCAATTTTTATTGTAAGGCAGGTAATGGAAATATAAAAAAATATAGAAACAAACGGTGATATGGTTTTCATTGATTTGGAGAAAACATATAAAAGAGTTCCTAGATAAGTTTTGTGATGGGCGCTCAATAAGAAAGTTCTCGGTGAGCATGTAAACATTGTGAGAGACATGTATGAGGGTGTAACTAGTGTTAGGGATAGGTCTGAGAGAGACTAATTAATTTGATGTGAAACTAGGATTGTTTTAGGGCTGTGCTTATTTACTCTCATTAGTATTAGATCAGATAGCAAGGGAACATTCCCTGGTGCTTAATGTGTGCTGATGATGTAGTGTTGGTAGGACATACCAACATATAAATAATATGAAAACGATTTGAGCAAAAACTGGAACAGTGTTCGTGAAAAAAAGGTTTAAAACTTAGAGTACAAAAACAGAATATTTGCAATGTTGATTTCTATAACTGTAAGGTAATCTGCTATGAGATACGGAACTGAATGTTGGCAGTTAAAATAAAGAGTAACAACGAAAGCATCTAGCAGAAATGAGGATGTCTAGACGAGTACGGGGAGTGACAAAACGGGTAAAATTAAGAATAAGTATATGAGTTGCACCAATTAATGCCAAAATAAGAGAGCATGGATTACGATGGCGATAGCATATTCAACATCGAGAGGCTGATCACACAAAAAAAAATCTTTGATTTGCTAGTTCCTGGAGGGAGTAGAAGAGGAAGCCCAAAGAAGACCTGAGAAGACGTTTGGGAAGAACTTGTCGGTAAAGGAAATTGATGTTGGATTGACCCAAGGCAGAAACTTAAGGAGAAATACAGGGTGAGTCATGAGGAACTTTTCATACTTCTACCATATGTAGAGTCCCTCAGGGAGCATATCATGTGGCCACTAAAAAATGTCAACTCCTTATTTATTAATTAACAGGGTGATTTGTATAATTGACCATTTATTTCATTTTACTGTAGTGTTTATACGGCTCATTTGATTTTTTTAATTTTTGCATGATACTATCATTACACTACTATCAATCATTCGACTGGTATTAGCTAAATTAAAAAATTCCAGGACTGGCTTTGGAAAAATTAATTTAGGGATTCGTATTAAATATTACACCCTGTATATATATTTTTTTAAAATGCAATAAGTGATTTTCAAACTACATAAATAGCCAATGAAAACGACATATGCGACAATGTTGTCGCACTTTTATTAAATTTTTAGTGAACGATCAAATCTCACCAAAAATAGAACAACCATAATGAAGTATCAAATTATAAGGTAATTAATTTAATCAAATGTTATAAATTTCAAACATTTTAATTGAAATGATAAACTGAGTCACTGCACAACAAAAAACAGTAACTACTAACAATAACGAAGAACAATTTAAAAAAAAAAAACTAAAAACATGTACAGTTATGATAAACCCATAAATTAGAACTGGAAAAGATACAATAATGGTAACAAAATAAAAATAATTCAAAATAGATTTTCGAAATGGAACCCTGCAGCCTGTACACATTTTTGTTGCCGAATTGGTAATTGACGTATTGAATTACGGATACTCTGTGGATCGTTTCTAATAGTATTACAACAATGTATAATTCTATCAATTAATTGTTGTCGGTTATTAATATTCACTGCGTAAACTAGTTGCTTCAATCGTCCCCAAATATGGTAATCAACGGGATTGAAATCATGGGATCTTGAAGGCCACGAAATAGGACCTGCACGTCCTATCCACCTGTTGCCATAAACATTATTGAGATGTTGTCTCACTGCCAGTAAAAAGTGTGGGGGTGCCCCATCATGCTGAAAATACATCCCTCGGATAGCAACGTTCGCGTTGGCAAGTAAATTCGGCAAAATATTTTGTAGAAAGTTCAAATAGACCTGCCCTGTTAAAGGACCATCAAAAAAGTGAGGACCTACTAATTGGTTATTTATGATACCAATCCACACGTTAACCGAAAACCTTAACTCAGAACGACGTTCTCGAATAGCATGGGGATTTTCTTCTGCACACACATGTGAATTTCGTGAATTATTTATCCCGTCTCTGGTAAATTGGGCTTCATCTGTAAATAGTGTTCTGTATAGCGTTGGTCGATTATTGTTAATCCATGTACAAAATTCCAACCTATCGATCTCATCTCCAGCATGTAGTCGCTGAACCATTTGAATGTGATATGGGTATAGATTATTTTTTTGTAAGACTCTACTTACTTTTGATTGAGTAACATTGAGTTCTCGACTTACTTGTCTAGTGCTTATTGTAGGGTTCAGAGTAACGGCGTCCATAATGTCATCTTCCTGTGCTTCATCTACATGTCGCTCTGTTGTTCCACTAGGAAAAGTGCCATTTTCTCGCAAATAATTAAAAACTGACCCAAATGTTGGATGACTGGGAGTTCGACGATTAGTAAATCTCCTGCGATATTCTCTACTAGCAGCCCTACCAGTCCCATTACAGAATCCATAAACAAATATTATGTCTGCATATTCTGTGGTCGAAAACTGATGTGGCATTTTGAACGAAAGTAACAAAAGCTCTACCAAAACTAACACAATGTACTTAACGTAGATATGACAGAAGAAATATGTATTCTTGTACACATAAATAACAATTGATAATGACAATGGGTATAAAATATTCAAAACCTTCATTTTAAACTTTTTTAGATTTATTTTTATTTAGTACAGTTTATGCAATATATTATTATTTGATATAAAATTTTAATCATTGACAATCAACAAAAACTAACACATACAAGAGGTTTGACTTTTTAATTAATTTAATTTATTATTTATCGAAAATAATGCCCCAATACGATCTATGAGTAAAAATTTAAAATTGAAAAACAATTGATTCTATCGTAGAGATAATACAAAGTGACAGTAAAGATGTTAATTTTCTACGTATTAGATTATGTTGTAGGAACTCATTTTAATTAAAATGTTTGAAATTTATAACATTTGTTTAAATTAATACCTTATAATTTGATACTTCATTATGGTTGTTCTATTTTTGTTAAGATTTGATCGTTCACTAAAAATTTAATAAAAGTGCGACAACATTGTCGCATATGTCGTTTTCATTGACTATTTATGTAGTTTGAAAATCACTTATTGCATTTTAAATAAATATATATATATATATATATATATATATATATATATATATATATACAGGGTGTAATATTTAATACGAATCCCTAAATTATTTTTTCCAAAGCCAGTCCTGGAATTTTTTAGTTTAGCTAATACCAGTCGAATGCTTTATAGTATTGTACTGTATCATGCAAAAATTAAAAAAATCAAAGAGCCGTATAAACTCTACAGTAAAATGAAATAAATGGTCAATTACACAAATCACCCTGTTAATTAATAAAGAAGAGGAGTTGACATTTTTTAGTGGCCACATGATTGCTCCCTGAGGGACTCTACATATGGTAGAAGTATGTAAAGTTCCTCATGACTCCGCCTGTATAATTAGGAAAGCTGGGTTCTTAATGGGAATGTAGATGCAGACCTTTGTTTCCCGTCCTTGACTAACTTACCGTTTCCC